AGTCTCATGGACTTTGCTTGCCAGGGCTGGCTTTGAACCGCAATCCTCAGAGCTCAGCCTCCTGAGTAGCTAGAATTGCAGGCGTGAGCCACTGGCGCCTAGCTCTTCTGCTTTTTGTTCCCAAGCCACTTCAGAACTTCAGTTGGAATTGGAACTTCAATTGCCCTTTCCCCTCACCCCCAGCTCATGTTGCGGAATGGACGGAAGGGCAGTAAGCAAAGGGCACCCCCCAACCTCACTCCAAACTGACCTCTCCCCCGGCCAGTGGAGAAGCAACGGAAGATGACCATGCGCATATCCAGCCCCTCCTGGACCCAGATCTTGTTCATGATTCGAATCATTTGCAGAGTGAGCATGTCCTGGCGAAGGTCGTCCCCGCACTGCATGGAGGAAGAGAGCGACCGAGACTCGTCCCTACCGCCTCCCAGGCTCCCCACTCCCACAGCTCCCCGGCCTGAACCGCAGCGACAGCCCTGCACCTCTGCTCACACCGGGTCAAAGACTAGAGACATCAACCTGCTTATAGTTAGTTTATCCCCACAGTGTCATGCCTGCTCTTCCTGCCCCCTCTTTTTTTTTTGTAGTACTGGGATTTGAACTCAGAGCTTGTCGCTTGCTACGCAGGTGTTCTTCTACTGCTTAAGCCATACCCTAGTCCTTGTTATTCTAGTTTTTTTCTTTTTGGGTCCGGTCACGGGGCCTGAACTCTGGGCCTGGGCGCTGTCACTCAGCTCTTCAGCTCAAGGCTAGCGCTCTGACACTTGAGCCACAGCGCCACTTCTGGCTTTTTTCTTTTTGCTTATGTGGTGCTGAGAAATCGAACCCAGGGCTTCATGCATGCAAGGCAAGCACTCTACCACTGAGCCACCTTCCCAGCCCCTCTAGTTATTTTAAAGATAGGGTTTCATCTTCTACCAAGGCCAATCTGGACCTTGACCCTCCTATTTATACTTCCCAACATAGATGTCCTTAGCTCTTTCTTGTCATATACAATTCCTTTTAACCTTTTTGTGCTCTATTAAAGAGGGCAGCAGATTGGGGCACTGGTGGCTCCTATCAGTAATCCTACCTCACATCCATAATTCAGGCTGAGATCTGAAGGGTCAAGTTTGAAGCCAGCATGGACAGAAAAGCCTGTGAGACTCTATCTCATTAACCAGACAAATGCTGTGGCTCAAGTGGTAGAATACCATGAGCGAGGAAGCTCAAGCAAGAGCAGAAGACATGAATTCAAGTCCCAGTACACATACAGATACACACACACACACACACACACACACACACACACACACATACGCATGAAGAGCAGCATGCTGGGCACAGTGGCTGAAGCCTGTAAAATCCTAGCTATTTGGGAGACAGATATCAAGGAGGATCATGGTTTGAGAGGTCAGCCTGGGCAAAAAGAAGTTGCTGAGACCCCATTTCCACCAATGGCTGGGCGTGGTGGCTGGTACTTATTATCTTAGCTATTGGGGCGGGGGGAAGGGACACAAATAGGAGGATCACAGCTCAAGCTTGCTTGGGCATAAATAAGATCCTATCTTGAAAATCACCAATGCCAACAGTATGGTGTGGCTCATATAGTAGAGCACCTGCCTAGCAAGTATGAGACTGAGTTTAAACCTTAGTATGGACAAAACCAAGAGAAGAGGCAGACTTCAGGGCAGGTGGGAGGGGGTGACTTAGTGGTCTAATGTGTGCGTGGTATGTTCAAGGCCCTGAGTTTGATCCCCAGCACCACAAAAAAGGCAGCAGGGAACGGGGGGGGGAACAGTTTTCTGAGGCTACCTGTGCCAACTGCATTCCTCCCACGCTCTCTCCACCTTCACCCCAGAAGACCTGAGGGGGCTCTTTTACCTTGAAGATGACCCGGATGTGCTCGCCCAGCGGATCCACGTTCTGGAAGGCGAGCTTGAGGGGGACTGCGTTGGAGTTGAAGTAGGAACAGTCCTGCACGGTGGATGGGGCAGTGAGCCGGGGTCAGGCTGCCCGTGCCCGGGAAGGAAATCACCTCTCCATGCTGGACCACCATGCCACCCCCTCCTGTTGCCCGTCCATCTGAGCCCTGCTCACTGTTAGTGCCTCATTTCTCAGGGGCGCAAATTCCTTCTCCCTCTCTTTAGTGCTGTCATCTGGGTTCATGAAGTGTCACCACTTCAGCCCCGGGACCTGACCTCTCATCCCTTCCTTCCTTCCCTCTATCCTGCACATCCTCATTACCCTCATGCCTTCTCCTAAGCCCCATCTCCCAGCGGGTTACTCCTCTGTAAAACAGGACCAACCTGGACAGCCGCCATCACTGTCACTGACTTCCTCCCAGCCTCTCCTGACCCCGCCCCTCACTTCCTCTCAACTCCATGCACAGTCTTCACATATGAGGGTTAGGAAGGGACTAATAGATCACCTTCCTTCCTCCTTGCCCTCAACAACCAGGGCAGTGAGGCCTTACCACTCTACCAGCCCCACACCCAGCAGCCACTCACCCTGGGCACGATGCCCTTCACCAGCAGACTGGGGCTGAGCGGCAGGCGACAGGAGCCATTGAGGACAAAAAACTGCTTCACCTCCTCCAGGCCCGTGCGGAGGATGCCCTGCCAGGGAGGGAGGGACAGAGGAGGGGGAGGGTGTGAGGGGGCTCCCAGGCTCCACCACAACCAGGCCATTCCCAGAAGTGGGCGCCTAATGATGCACTGAGAAGCCTGGCACACTCCGGGATACCCTTAGGCAGGAAAACTGCTGTCCGTCCCAGGCTGGCCCAGTGCAGGAGCAGCACGGTCCGATACCCCCGGGGGAGGGAGGTTTAGAACAGCAGGAAGCAGGCCAGAATGTCTCATGGGGAAGTCCTGCTCAGGCTCTGCCAAGAAAAGCTAATGAGCTGGGCACTTGTGGCTCATGCCTGTAATCCTAGCTACTCAGAGGGCTGAGATCTGAGGATTGAGGTTCAAAGCCAGCCTGTGAGACTTCTTATCTCTAATTAACCATCACAATTGGTCACCAAAAAAGCCAGAAGTGGAGCTGTGGCTCAAGTGGTACAGCATCACCTTGGTCAAAAAAAAGCTAATGAGCTGTAATCCTAGCTACTCAGGAGGCTGAGATCTGAAGATCATGGTTCAAAGCCAACTCAGGCAGGAAAGTCTGTGAGACTTTTATCTCCAATAAACCACTAGAAAACTGGAAGTGGCATTGTAGCTCAAGTGGTAGAGCGCACGTCTTGAGCTGAAGAGTGCAGGGACAGCACCCAAGCCCAGAGTTCAAGCCCCATGACCGACAAAAAAAAAAAAAAAAAAAAAGCTAATAAGGGCTGGGAATGTGGCTTAGTGGTAGAGTGCTTGCCTTGCATGCATGAGGCCCTGGGTTCGATTCCTCAGCACCACATAAGCAGAAAAAAGCCATAAGTGGCACTGTGGCTCAAGTAGTAGGGTGCTAGCCTTGAACTGAAGAGCTAAGGGACAGCACCCAGGCCCAGAGCTAAGGGACAGCACCCAGGCCCAGAGTTCAGACCCACGACCAACAACAAAAAAACTAATGAACAGTGCTTAGGCTCTGAGTTCAAGCCCCAGGATAGGCCAAAAAGAAAAAAAAAAAAAAGAAGACAGAAAAAAAAGAAAAGCTAATGATGTTTGTGTTTGTTTTTCCCCCTACCTTTTGAAACAGGTTTCAGCCCAGGCTGAAACTCTCAATCTTCCTGTGTCACCTTTCCAAGTATTGAGATTACAGATGCATACTACCCTTTCTAGCTAGGATCTAAACTCTGATATAAAAATTTCTTAGCCAGGCTCTGGTGGCTCCCACCTGTAATCCTAGCTACTCAGGAGGCTGAGATCCATCTAAGGACCATTGTTCAAAGCCAGCCTGGGCAGGAAAGTCTGTGAGACTCTTATCTCGAATAAACTACCAGAAAACCAGATATGGCACTGTGTGGCTCAAGAGGTAGAGCGCTAGCCTTGAGCTGAAGAGTTGAGGGACTGAGCCCAGGTCAGGAATTCAAGTCCCACAACTGACAAATAAATAAATAAATAAATAAATCTCCCAACCAGGAACACTGCTGGCCTAATACAATGTCTTTGGGCAAATAGAAAAAGTTGCCTCTGAGCCTGGCTCACTGTCAAACAAACACAATATGACTGGACTTCAACCCTTACTTGCTCTTTTCGCTGGAGGCTCTTGTGCAAAAGACAACTTGCTCAACTGTGCTTAGTCTTGAAGGCCAATGGCTAAATAGAGACGCTCAGTATTTTGCAAACCAAACCAATCACACTGATCATACTCAAGAGACCTGAGAAGTAAACTACTGATGTGTATTGGTCCCTGATGTGTATTAGGCAAGAAATAGAGGCAGCCTTGCCCCATTCACCTGACGTGCAGAAGGGGTGGCCTCCCGGACCTGCTGGGCCAGTTTAGCCAGAGAGTTGACAAGCCAGCACTGGCGATTAAACTCCTCCCTCAGCCCTTTGCCACAGCAACACAGCAGGGCTGCCAGCAGGTACTGGTAGCGGATGCTGAACTGAGAGTCCTTCAGGCCATCCTTCAGCAACCTGCAAGGCATGAGAAGGGAGTCAGGCCACTCAGGGACCACAGGGGGTTAGAGGCGAAGAAGGGGCTGCATCGTGGCCATCTCACCAGAAAAGCCACCCCCACCTGGGAAGGAAGAAAATGTGCTCAGAATGCAGTGCTCACCTGTGTCCACCCTGTCCCCAGCTTAGAGCTGAAAGCCCCTCTACAGCTCAGGAACAGGGTGAACAGACGGACAGAGATGAGGCCCGCTGAGTGAGCTACACGGGTTGAACTGAGACCCTGAAGGAAAGATGCTGGCTAGGCCAAGGTCACGTGGTAGATCAGCAACATCCTGGGCAAAGCCCAGACTGCTAGGCCCCACCCCCTCGCCCCCCCCCCACCGCCCATGCCTGAGGGAGAAAGACTCCTGGACAAGGGACACTCGGCTGCCTCCCCCTTTCTGCATATGGACTTTACCAGAAGAAGTAGTGGGTCACTCTCAGGTCGGAGACGGCTCGCTTCAGGAGGAAGCGTACCAGGGGGCTGTCCAGGTAGCACTCATACTTAAGTGCCTGTTCAGGAGAAGGCAAACACGAAACTCTATTAACGGCCTGAAATCTACACCCACTACTATCTGCCTAGGCCCTTAGGCTCCTAAGAGTCAGGTGCAGAATAACTTGGGACTAGAGGATGGGATAAGCAGAATTGAGGGGAAGGAGCTAGGCACCGGCTCACGCCTGTAATCCTAGGCTATTCAGGAGGCTGAGATCTGAGGATGGAGGATCCAAGTTACCAGCCTGGACAGTAAAGTCCATGAGACTCTCATCTCCAATTAATCACCAAAAAGCTGAAAGTGGAGCTGCAGCTCAAGTGGTAGAGTGCTGGCCTTGAGTAAAAAGGCTAAGGGACAGACTAAGGTCCTGAGTTCAAGCCCTAGTACCAACGCACACACACACGCACACATGGAAGAAAGGGCCAGCCACTCACCTGCACCAGCTGGGGCAAGTAGTCAAGCAGCTCGGCATCCGAGAGTGAGCCAATCCACTGCACAGCCATCCGCCGCACCTCCTGGTCTGGGAAGCTGGCAAGACAGAGCCCAGAACCTTGACAACCCATCCATGAGCACTAAGCACAGCTGTGAGCCAAGTCCCTTCACACCTGAGCTTCAGAGCATGGCGGGGAAAGACAGCATCAAAGCCAGTGGAAGAGTCAGTCATTTCTGGGGACTGCAACTCTGGACAAGCAGCTTCCTCTAGAAACAAGTCTACTTTGGCTAAAACTGGCTAGGCAAATAACAGAGCATCACTGGAATTTTATAGATATCTGATAGGATTAGTTTTAGGGAGACTAGAAAAACTGTTGCCTCAAAAGTCCTGAAGGGGTCAAGTGCCAGCAGCTCATACCTATAATCCTAACTACTCAGAAGGCTGAGATCTGAGAATTGTGGTTCAAAGCCAGGCTGGGCAAGAAAATCCCTAATATTTTTATCTCCGGTTAGCCACTGAAAAGCTAGAAGTGGAGCTGTGGTTCAAGTGGTAGAGTGCCAGCCTTGAGCAAAAAATCTAAGGGACAGTGGCCAGATCCTGAGTTCAAGCCTGAGTACCCCCCACCACACACACACACAGAGGGAGTTGTGAATTTGATCAAAATACGTTCTAAGCATGTATGGAAATGTCACAATGAAACCCGTTTTTACAATTAATATATGCTAATAAAGAAGAAAAAACTAACAAGGTGCCGGTGGCTCACGCCTATAATCCTAGATACTCAGGAGGCAGAGATCTGAAGATCATGGTTCAAAGCCAGCCTGGGCAGAAAAGTCCCTGTGAGACTCTTATTTCCAATTATTCACTCAAAAACTGGAAATTGAGCAGTGGCTCAAGTGGTAGAGCACTAGCCTTGAGCACAAAGAGGAGCAGGGACGGCACCTAGGCCCTGAGTTCAAGCCCCACAAGGACAAAAAAATAAAGAAGGAAAACTTGTATTGCTTGAGAGGAATGGAAAAACATGCAATTAATGATAAGGCAAATAGGAACGGCAGAACCTGGGTGGTAGGTATATAGGGGCTCGCTGTGCAGTTTCCAATTTTGTTGTACATTTGGAAAACATCTAGAACATCGCAGGGAAACAAGATGAAGACAAAGCAAAAGACAGAAACCAACGGGCCCCGAATATCCATGCCTACTTGAGCATCTTCCCCAGAGTTGCCTGGTCAGTGCTGGGGAGGATGGGTGGGTGCTACAACTCACGTGGCATGCAGGAGTCCAAGGGCATCCTGGTGGTTCATGTGTGACCACTGCTTCAGGAGGGCATAGATGTCGGGCAGGCAAGCCCACTCCCAGCTGGGGGCACTGGCGAGCACCAGAGGGAGCGAGCTCACCTCCGAATGGCAGTAATATCGCTTCTCCCACAGGCGCTTCTTGTCAGCATCAGTGAGCCTGGCGGGAGGAGGAACGTGGACAGAGTCAGCCAGAAGGTGGAGAACTCACACTTCACACAACAGTGCACACTGCCATTTGATGCCCCCTCAATTTCCCTGCACATTATAATCACCTAAGGGCCTGGTGGGCAGCCCAGGTCACCAACAGAGTCAGAATGTCTGTGGAAGCCACGCATCGGGTATTTTTCAAAGACCACCAGGAGATGGGAAGCAAAGCTTGGGGAGCAAGGTCTAAATATCACCTTTGATCCTGACTCAGGGACATCTCTGACCCAGGCAGAACCCAGGCATGAGCCAAGGGCATCAGATTTGCCACCACGAGGGCTTGTCCTGCGGACTCTACTCCCAAGTACAGCCACCAGAGGGCAGCACCTGTCAGGGTCTAAGCCTCCTGGGGCTGCCAGAGGCCAGCTGCTGGTTTTATAGGGACTGTGGCTAATTGGAATTTGCCTGAGATCAGGTGTCTAATGGGCAAATGAAGCCCAGGCTAATGAAGTAAAGGGTTGGGGCAGAAGGATAGGGGCAGGAGAGGTCTGTAGTCATTCAGCTACTCTGGCACCCTGGGTAGACATGGATGAGTTATCTCCCTTGATCTCCATGTGCACAGGGACCAAGAAGGAACAGAGAGATGGATGGGGAGGGCAGGCAGGGGAGGAGCCCCAACCCCATCAGCTCCCCCAGCTCCTTCTTCTCTGATCCTGGTGAACACAGCAGCCCCAGGGATGAGATCAGCCTGGACTCATTTACCCCTGAGAGTTGCCAGCTTGCCATGACACCTGATCCTTTTTGGAAAGTGACAAGGCCAGAAAAATGCAAAGGCTTGTTGGTGTAAAAGGGGCAGGAGGTGGGGGAAGGGAGGTGAGGGCTGCAGCCAGCTGTCCCAGCAGACAGCAAGTGGTGGACCGTAGATCTAGGGTGGAAATGAAGCTTTGCTCCTCTGATAACTAAATCTAGGCATTCTCAGATCTCATTTCCTGAGTCCTTTCCCTCTACTTTTCCCCATGTTGGCTTATGGAGAAAGATCTGGAGGGGCTGCCACTGTGCCCTGCCTAGAAGGTAAGGCCTACCCCACATCTGCACTCCAGTGCAGAAGGGTGGGGACTGGGAGGTGGGGCAGAGTCAGAATGCACATAACAGGCTTGGGGGTGGGGGTGGGGAGCCAGAGGGTGCCCGGGGCCTCACCAGTACAGGGACTCCTTCTGCATGATGTCTTTAAGCTTGCGCTGGTCTTCTTCCTGGAGGCTGCCAAACTCATAGCGGGGGCTGAACTTATCTCCAGAAGGGCTGGTGAATTTGATGTCAAAGGCTGAGGTGGGGAAGTCAATCTTGGGAGGGGATCAGAGAAGGGAGGGGAGCGAGGAGGCAGAGTAGTGAGTGAAGGTGGTCCCAGCTTTGTAAAACAACCCAGCTAGACTTAGCGACTCCCAAGACCCCCATCAGCTGTAATGTGCAGCAAAACTTACAAGGAAATAGAGGGATGAAATGGGAAAGGAAGGTAGAGGTGAGGTTGGCATGTTCCCAGGTAAGGGGAGCCCTCAGTTGGGTCTGGAAGCCTGTGAGCTACCAGGCGCTTGGACCTCACACTGGGCACTGGCTACACTAGGGCCTGTGACACACAGGCCTTTGCTTGGTACCACTGCTGCTCTTTCTCTTAAAGTAGAAGTCAGCTGAGTGAACCAATTCTCCCAAGAAGTTCTGCTTTGCTTCATTCAACAAGTGTTTACTGAACACTAATAGGTGCACTATTTAAACCCTAGGCATAGAGTAATGAATAGGACACAGAACTACACGCCTTTATAGTGTGCACTCTGGACTTTTATGTCTCATTTTGTCTAAGCTTTGACATTCCCCCATTCCATACCAAAGCATCTCCTGATCACAAGAAAGGGGAGCTGGGAGCTAGTAACTAGTGCAGGATTTAATCTGCTCTCCCTGCCCTCCAAAGGCACCCTAGCCTACCCTGTTGGAACCCCTTGTGACTGATGAGAAAGGCTCTTCTCTCAGGGTCCCACCAGGGGCAGCTCAGAGCTGACTGGACTTATGAGAGTTGAAAACAAGGGACTTTGAGAGGCTAAGCTCTGGCCAGGGAAGGCCTCAGACCCCACCTCCGGTCTCTGGTAGCAAAGTTAACCCTAGGAAATGGGAGATGGATACCACAAAACTCACCCTTCCTTCCGCTCTGGGTCACCCCATGTTCACCAGTCACTTTGGGCATATCACCATCCTATGCCCACACTTCCCGTCCTTTCTACCGCTCCAACCCACCGCTCACAGCGGGGATATTTGGAGCTGGCTTGGGTTTGCTCTCACCTGCAGGATGACACTGTCTGGCTGGTGGAAATTAGGAGCACTCCATCGGGCCCTGGGGTTTTCTTGTGTGGCTGGCCATAAGCCTAGGAGCTTCCGGCCACAGGTCAGGACTCTGAGGCAGGAGAGTGAGATGAGCCAAGAGACCCACTGGCGGAGCTCTCCCAACCCCAGCCTGCCTGGGAGGACGCCATCCAGCGTCTTTCATTCTCCCGGTGGACCATGGCCTCTACCTTCTTTTAAATTCTAGACAAAGCGTCCCACAGCAGAAGGCCTCTCCGAGCTCGCCATTCCCTGGACAGGACAACCCAGTGGCAAGGGGTGTCCTCGGGAAGTGGAGGCTGGCAGAGATGACATTTAAGCTCCTTCCGGTAACAAGACCAGATGACATGTTGCCAGACATTGCCTTCCCGGGTCCCGACACCTATCAGTCCTGTCACTAGTCTTGCTCTTGGTTACATCCAGATCACTGGGTTCCGTGCATTGGCCTTTCTACCACGGCTGGACCCTCTAGACTTCCACCAAGGAGTCCGTGTGGCCAACCATCCACACCAACAACCAGACCCCCCCCCCTGCTTTCTCCATGCCCTTCCCCTGCCCCTTCTCCGAAGCCAGGAGGTTTCCTCGGGCTCACATACTGCCTGAAGTTGAAGAGTGGCGTCGTGACCCAGCCCAGGGCTTCGGGCACCCTCCGCTGCTTGTTGGCCTCGGAGGAGCTCCCGGGGGGAGGGATGGGCAGAGCGTAGAGAGTGGCACACAGCAGCGTCTCCCGGGGCAGCCGGTTCACCTGCACGGGGAAGCAGATCCTAGGGGGGGGACAGGAGACCGTATCAAGAGACTTTGGGGGGCAGGAGGGGGGAGGGAAGGCAGGGCAGGAAGTCAAATGGAGGCAGAGAATTCTATCTCCCTCTGGAAGGGGGACGGAGGGTTAGATGTGCTCCCTGGGGAGGTCTTGCTGGAGAACCAGGACAAGTCTCAAACCAAGCAAGACCTCTACTGAGGGGGGTGGGGGAGAACTCCTAGGAGTACCTTGTCCTTGAGGGCCCCCAGGAGGGGGGGGGGACAAACATCACCTGATTTCCAGGCTATCCCTGGGGTCCTAAAAAGTCCCTTCACCAGAGGGCCATTGCTATTCCACCTGAGAGACATCCTCTTTGGTCCTCCTTTTCTTCCCCCCCCCATCCCTCCTTGCCCAGAGCCACCAGTTCACCTAGCTTCCCCTCCCCCATAGCCCTCCTACCTGTCCACATCCCTTCACCCCCCCAACTCAATGCCAAAGGGATAAAGAGAAGAAGCTTTCCAAGGCCCCCAAGTGGGAAGCAGGGCCAAGAGAACAGCGACCACTCCCCAGATCCAGCTGTTCCCCCTCAGCTGCCAGCACCACACCCAGCCCCTCCTCCCCAGCTCAGGGTGGGAAGCTGTGGGTGGGGGAGCTGGGGGGGAGGGGGAGGGGGCAGGGAGGAAGCACCCACTTTACCTTTCTGGGAAGCTGTCCCAGGGTCAAAGTCCAACATGACCACACCCTCCGGGCCAGCCCAGGGCCCAGAAGCTTCTATGCCCAGAGGGCACAAAGGCATAGAAGCAGGATGGCTACCCCCAAGCTCAGCAGTTTTAGATAAAGCAGCCCCTCATGCCTGGGGGTGGGAAATCTCCACTTCGGTATGGCATTCACTTGTGCCTGCCACGGACTGGCACGGCCCCACCCAGTCCCAGCTGCTGCTACCCTAGGGGGCCCACAGCTATAATTAGGGCCCCTCCAGCGGCCGGGAGGACATGCCAGGCTGGGCTGGGCTGGCGGTGACAGAGCTCAACGCTGGACCTATTTTGAGAGTGAACTGATCCCGGTACTGCTGCAGCGAGAGAATCAGCTGACCCCACAGCCCGGGGCGAGGAAGCTGGTTCTGAGCCCCTGCTTTTCACCCATGAAGCAGCATCCAGCACGGGAGCTGAAGGAAAAGAGGAACTTTCTAACTGAAATCGGAACACCTGAGAAGCAACAGGGTCCCCTACTCCTCAGACTTTCGGTAGACCTGTGCTTCTAAACCTTTCCTCCATGTGGCCAGGTGCTAGTGGCTCACACTTGTAACATTAGCTACTCAGGAGGCTAAGATCCTGAGGATTGTGGTTCAAACACAGCCTGGGCAGAAACACGGGTACAATGCTTACCCCTATAATTAACTAGCAAAGAGCTACAAGCGGAGGGAGATGTGGTTCAAGTGGCGGAGTGCCTGCCTGGAAAAAGCTAAAGGAGAACATCCTGGTCCTGAAATTAAGCTCCAGTACCCACCCAACAACAAAACACCTACTCCCTGAACCTCGGACTGGATGGGTCAAAAGAATGACTGTTGGCTGCAGAGCTGACTTTCTTCCTAGCCTGAGAAACCTAGCTCCTTCTGGCAGCCCCTTTTCTCAACATAAACTGTGCTAGGTTTCAGTATGCATTGGCCACTGACAACTTCAGGCAAGGAAGTTCACACCTCTGCCCTGAGGGTCCTTGTCAGGAAACAGCTGGGCTTGTATGGTGTGTGAACACCACCGTCTATGTAACTTGCTGTATGACATTGTGGTTACTGCACTGGAAATGAGCCACAAAACAGAACATTTTCATAAGCAAATATCCTCCTGCATCAGCCATGTGGAAACAGAAACCGGAAGTGAAAGGGCCAGCGTGCTCAGACAATGACAGTAAAAAAGAGAACACTAATCAAGTCCAGTTTCTTAACAGTTTCAAACAATCCATCTCCATTCAAACTGAATGACTGGTAGGAACGAGGAGACAGCTGCACCCAAATGCCTATGCCCTGAACCCCAACAGTATGTTGGCTTTCACCTACATGGTCTGGCCTAAAAAGGGCCTAGTGGTCTCTCTTGGGGCACCAGGCAGGCAGTGTTGAGACCAGGCTCTTATTTATTTTTATAGTTTTTTTTGGGGGGGGGTCCGGTCGTGGGGCCTGAACTCTGGGCCTGGGCGCTGTCCCTCAGCTCTTCAGCTCAAGGCTAGCGCTCTACCACTTGAGCCACAGCGCCACTTCTGGCTGTTTTCTTTTTGCTCATGTAGTGCTGAGGAATTGAACCCAGGGCCTCAGGCATGCAAGGCAAGAGCTCTACCACTGAGCCACCTTCCCAGCCCCAAGACCAGGCTCTTCACATGGCTTTGCCCTCTAGGATTCAAGATGCAGATTTCAGACAGGGAATGGGTAGGCTGGGCTCACTGTATTTCTCTGACTCTGCATGGGAAAAGGATGTAAAAGCCAGGCGCTAGTGGCTCACACCTGTAATACTAGCTACTCAGGAGGCTGAAATCTGAGGATCATGGTTCCAAGTCAGCCTGGGCACGAAAGTCTGTGAGATTCTTAACTTCAATTAACCCAAACCGGAAATGGAGCTATGGCTGGCTCAATGAAGCATGCTCAATGAATGCTAGCCATGAGCAAAACAAGCTCATGGAGGTAGTGGCGCTGTGGCTCAAGTGGTAGAACGCTAGCCTTGAGCTAAAGGAACTCAGGGACAGTGCGTAGGTCCAGAGTTTAAGCCCCAGGACTAAAAGGAGAAAAAAAAAAAAAAAAAGGATGTAAAGTCAGTTTCTTAAGAGTCCTCGTAGACCAGAACTCCTTTCCTTGGAGAGCAACAATAATTGAGGGCAGAGAATCCCAAGGAGATAGTGAAATACAGGGACTGTGTAATGCAGCTCTGTCCCAAAGGAGACAGTGTCTGTGTAATTCACAACAGTGTAGTTACTGCTCTAAGAATTACCTAAGTATAAAGGACAGGAGAAAGGGTCTCTCTCTTTCCAGGTGACCATCTGTAGCCTGATCCACCATCTCCAGACTCCTGTCTACCTAATCTGGGCATCTTTAGCCTCCCCCAGGACTCTCCTTAGTTTCTTTAACATATACTCCAAATGCTTAAATTGTGTTTGCTACTCTGCAAATGAGGTCTCAGAGATAATCAGTCTGAGGAAATGAAGCTGGGGGGCAGCAAGCAAGGGGTGTTCTGATTGGAGGACAGATGGAGTGCAGCACAGAGAAGGCACAGGGCAAGGCCGGCACCTGCCGTGTTGCCATTCCCAGTCTCCTCACCTCTATTTCCTTCCTGCCTTGCTTGGCTGATGTCTACCTTCCTGACATCAAATTATTAACAAATAAGCCAGGCGCTGGTGGATCACGCCTGTAATCCTAGCTACTCAGGAGGCTGAGATCTGAGGATCGCGGTTCAAAGCCAGCCCGGGCAGGAGAGACCATGAGACTCCTATCTCCAATAAACCACCAGAAAACCGGAAGTGGTGCTGTAGCTCAAGTGGTAGAGCGCTCGCCTTGAGCTGAAGAGTTGAGGGACAGCGCCCAGGCCCAGAGTTCAAGCCCCACAACCGACAAAAAAAAAAAAAATTATTAACAAATAGAGATTGATACTATCTTGTGTGCATGGTTTCAAATTAATAACCTGCTGCGTTACTTCAATGCCAACTGCCTCCCAGTTAAACGGATGTCTCTATTTCTTAGTTTGAGAAACTAGTTCTAGAGAAACTAGAAAGAACAGAGGATTAGAGAGAGGATAAGAAAGATAACCTTTTTCCTTGGCTTCATGTTCATTATTCCTTTCTCTAGACAACCCTCCCTGCTCCATTCATTGGAAATGGAGCACGGGTCTGTGTGTCATTCTAAGGAAACTTTGGGAAGAAGAGAGGATGGGACTCCCCAGACTAGTTAAAACTTTCTGAGACACAAGATCAAAAGAATGAGCTATTATTAAAATTAACAAGTAACATTTATATGGTTTAACAAGTTACAAAGAGCCTTTATGGATGCTTTTATGTGAGCTCCTCCTAACAACTTAAGAAGGTAGAAATCATGCTTATCTTCATTTAAGAGCATTTAAGAGCTATCAGCTGGTGCTGATAGCTCACACCTGTACCCTTGCTACTTAGTAGGCTGAGATCTAAGGATCAGGGTTCAAAGACAGCCTGAGCAGGAAAGTCCATGAAACTCTTATCTCCAGTTAACCACCGAAACATCGATAAAGGACAGTGCCCAAACTCTGAGTTCAAGTCTCAATTAGTGGCACAAAAATAAATAATAAATACATTTTAAATAAAGAAGTGGACACTCAGAAGGCTGAAATATCTGCGTGATGAAGGCTATTAGTGGAACCTGGTTTAACCCAGGCTTGTGCCCAAGCTCTGAGTCTGGTTATTTCCCCAGGGGCATTCTCTAGAATGAGTAGAAGCACAGGGCCCTGGCCTTGGAGCCTGGGGAGTGGCTTACTGCTGATCCCAGATGATGAGGTGGAACAGGTACTTGGAGAAATGAGCCCTTCGGGTCTGCAGGGGGCTGCACAGCTCCTTGCCACCATGGCTAAGAGAGCAGGAGAGGTAGAATTCTTCATAGCTACAAAAGAAAGAGCAGAATAAATCAGGATACCTGCCCCCTCAAAACCAATCTCAGTCATCCTGCATCTTTGCCTCCTCTCTATGCTAAACTATTTCCGCTGGTAGAACTGCTCTGGGTCTCTGGAGACACAACCTGGGTCAGGGACAAGTTGGATTTAAGGAAACACGCTCAAGAGGCAGCAATTCAATCTAGATCCTTCTTCTCTGCAGGATTTGAGGCTCCATGAGGAGCTGGGGGTGGAGGGGGGCTGTTCTTCCTTTCCCAGCTAGCTTCCTCTTCTGTCAGGTCCAGCCCATCCATGGGGGTGCCCCTGCACACGTGTGTGTATACAGATGTGTGTGAATGTGCATGGGGAGGTGGTGGTGGGGGAAAACGACATATGCTGCCATGAATGCCAACACATGGGGTCCCTGTGGCTCATGACAGGTGCCTGTCAGAAAAGGTCAGAGAAGGCCCCGGTTTCCCAGGCTGCCTTCTTTGTTCTCTGCCAATAGCCCAGAGGAATACATTAAGGAAAAGAACAAAGAGAGAAGGGGGAAAGGAAGAGAAAAGGAGGGGCTGGGAAGGGCGGAGTGGGGCCAAATGCCTATTCCCCCTGGGGCCTTGATGCTGAGACTGGGCACGGAGGAAGAGCTGACTACTACCAAATGATGATCCTCCTCTACCTCTCTGCTCACCCCTGCAAGCCTAAGGAACCCCAGACAAAAGGTCACTCCTACCTCCCGCCCCTCCCACTGGGCCTCTGCAGGGGAGGGCAGTCATTGGCCATGGGGCGGGCTCTATCTGGGAACTAGCCATCTGTCGTGTCTCCCTCAGCTGGCTTTGGATCCAGAGGGGGGCAGGAGGATGCAGAGGCAGCCAGCACGGAGGGGGTGGCAGGTGCTTCTCCATCTCCATGGGGACCTTGTCTCTCAGAGATGTCCCAGCCTGGATTCCCCTCTGGCACTTGGCTCATCCCCTCAGCCCCGGTGTACCAGAATGCCACACAATGCCACACATGCTACGTCCAACGAATCGTAGCCTACCTAGTAGCCCAAATGATGGGAATGCGGTGGGTGGCGTAGATGGTGAAGGACAGGGCCCCTGAGAAATGGCAGGCCTCCTGGACCAGATCATGCTTGCGGCTTCCGGGCACTGCCGTCTGGAAGTCTGCATTGAACGTGTTGCAGTACAGCTCCACCAGGTCCAAGATGGCTGCCGTCAGGGCTTCCACAACCTTCTCTGTGAAAGCATGGGATCAAGGGAAACCTGTGAGGTCTCCATGAGCACCATCATGTTGCCATGACACTGACCATGGGATAGTTAGGATAGCGGTTCTCTAATGTCAGCTGGTTTCTAATGGTGGTGACAAAACTTGCCCATCTGTGGTAGAGTGGAGAAAAAGCAGGAGCGTTTCCTGAGCTTTTCATAAAGTGACTATGGGTTTTAAACATGTTTTTTATTGTTGTTATTGTTTTGTTTTTTTTTACATATGGCTCCTTTTATATTAGTTACTGTTGAAATGTCCTTTCTTTTAGGACATTTGGTAATAAAACTGCCAATTGTTGGGCTGGAGGCATGACTCATGGTACAGTGTCTGCCTAGCAAGTGCAAGGCACTGAATTCAAAACCCCAGTTATTGCCAAAAGAAAAAAGATCCAGCTGGGTGCTGGTAGCTCATGTCTGTAATCCTAGCTACTCAGAAGGCCGAGACCTAAGAATCATGGTTGGAAGTCAACTTGGGCAGGAAAGTCCATGAGACTCTTTACCTCTAATAAACTACTCAAAAAGACGAAAGTGGCACTGTGGTTTAAGTAGTAGAGGACTAGCCTTGAACAAAAGAAACCCAGGGAGAGCACCCAGACCCTGAGGTTCAATCCCTAGGACTAGCAAAGAAAGAAAAAGAAAAAGATCCAAAGAGTCCTATCCTAGCAAAGTAAAAAGCTGACAAGGCTGAACTGGTAGACCCCTTGCCCAGTTTGTGCAAGGTAATGGGTTCCATCCCTCCCCCTCCCCGGCACCCCCCCCTCCCCACACACACAGCTGTCAATTCTATGTTGGCCCCAGACACCTACTGAGGACATTTTATTAGTCTACAATATCCAAAAGACTGGAAACTAATATAAGAATTTCAGTGAAAGAGGCCTTTGGAACAAACTTAAAGAACAGGGGATCCATATCAGGTGCTGGTGGCTCATGCCTGTAATCCTAGCTTTGTAGGAAGCTGAGATCTGAGGATACCAATTCAGAGCCAGTCCAGGCAAATCCAGAAGAATCTCAGCTCCAAGTAACTAGTGAAAAGCCAGAAGTAGGGCTGGGAAGGTGGCTCAGTGGTAGAGCACTTGCCTTGCATGCCCTGGGTTCGATTCCTCAGCACCACATAAGCAAAAAGAAAAAACCCAGAAGTGGCGCTGTGGCTCAAGTGGTAGAGTGCTAGCCTTGAGCTGAAGAGCTGAAGGACAGTGCCCAGGCCCAGAGTTCAGGCCCCACGACCGGACCAAAAAAAAAAAAAAAAGAAAAGACAGAAGTAGAGGCATGGCTCAGGTGTTAAAACACCAGCCTTGATGGAAAAAGGTCAACAGAAGGGCAAGGTCCTGAGTTCAACAAGCCCCAGGACCATCACACACACACACACACACACACACACACACACACACACACACTCTCTCTCTCTCTCTCTCTCTTTCTCTCTCTCTCTCTCTCTCTCTGAAGAAATCCTCATGAGAAATTCCCTCTCTCAGTTTCCCAATGCCCATTCAGAAAGTGAGGGTTGTATGTTGCTGGGAGATAAATCACAACCAGCACAAGTATAGCTCTGCCATGGGGATGGAAAGGCCAGCTCTGCCTCACCACCCGCTACCTCGCCTCCCTCTTCAGGGACACCATAAAGTACTGACTAGCAAGAAGAATGAGAAAATGATCTGTGGAAAGAAATGTGGGCTCCAGCTGTGTCCACACCTCATAAGAAAACACACACACACACACACACACACACACACACACACACACGGGCAAATCCAGGAAAGGCATCTGGACCAAGAACTGCCCCTCCCAGACAAAGAAGGAGAGCCATTTCCTTACCTCGGTTTTTCCTCACAGCCAAGACGCTGGGATCCTGTTGGGGAATAAAAAGAGGGAGTGAGTTCCAAGAGACACAGCCTTTTCCATCACAGCTGGAGAAAGGCTTTTTCACAGCTGTATTCATCTGGGTCAGACTGGGCTGAAATGTGAGGAGCAGAGATTCCCCAGGGAGGGGGGACAATGGTTTCCGCCAGAGCTGCGTGATGGACAGAGTGGACTGCTGGGATTAAAAACTGTCTCATATACTCTAATGCAAAAGTCCATCCCTCGAGTCCCTTAACTGAGCACCACAGGGCTACAGTTGCTGGTCCTGTTCCTAATATAGGGTCTCTGAGCTGAAGGCGGGGGAGCGGAGGGGGAAAAATGAAGATTCTCCTGGTTTGATTCTTCAGGCTGATGACAAGCCAACTGTCAAACAATGCTTTGGTGGTCACGAATAAAGCCTTTCCAGCCCAGGCTCACCCAGTCAATCTAGGGGGTAGACCCCAGCCCATCCTTATTCTCAGTAAGAGGGGACACACATGGCATCCAGTTTCTCAGGAAATTCTGTTTGAACTGCTTCTACATAAAAAATGGGGCCTTTTAGCGTGCGAACTTCCCATCACTCAGCAAGTAGCAGCCCGGTGCCCTGCGGCCACTCCCCTTCCCCAGGTTAACGCCTGAGCGCTTTACCTTCTGGATTTTAGGCTGCATGCGCGAGGGGCAGGGGGGCAGCTGGTTGAGAGCGCTGGTGATCTCTGGGGTTTCCACTGCAGCAAGGGCATTGCAGATGGCCTTCACAGACTGGACCACCCTGTCCGCCTTCAGTGGGAAGTCCTCCTGTGGGAGGCCATGCAGGCAGGCTGGCTCAATTCTATGCTATTGACCCTCAACCTTCCAATCTTTAAAAGAAGGAGCCCAGAAGGGTAGGGACTGAAGACTAAAGAGGAACTGTAGAGCTCATACTTTTTTCTTTCTTTTTTTGATGCTGGTCCTGGGGCTTGAACTCAAAACCTAGACACTGACCTTAGCTTTACAGAGCAAGGCTGGTGCTCTACCACTTCAGCCACAGCTCCACTTCTGGATTTTGGCGATAAATCACTTGGATTTGTCTGCCCAGGCTGGCTCTGAACTGCCATCCTCAAATCTCAAACCTCTTGAGTAGCTAGGATGACAGGTGTGGGCCATTAGTGCCCAGGCTATATTTACTTTCAAATACCCTTCCTCAGCAAACAGCAACTCACCCTGAATTTAAAAGGGCCACACCCATCTTCCCCATTCTCTCAGCCATTGCCCCCTTATACCACCTCAGTCAGCAATAGTTTATCCACTTCTACACATGCATGTTTTCCCCAGAGGCCTATAGTTTAAGAAAAGCAATCTAAGCCAGGCACCAGTGGCTCACACCTGTAATCCTAGCTACTCAGGAGGCTGAGATCTGAGGATCATGGAGTGCAGTCTGCCATAGCAGAAAAGTCCATGAGACTCTTATCTCCAATTAACTAACAAAACTCCAAAAGTGGATGTATGGCTCAAGTAGCAGAGTACCAGCCTTGGGGGGCAAAGCCAAGTGAGAGTACGGCCCTGAATTCAAGCCCCAGAACTGGTGCATGTGCACACACATTCATGCGCGCGCGCGCACACACACACACACACACAATTCTTAAGGACCAAGAACTAGGCTAGAAAGAGATCATGCTAAGGCCTTACTTGCCCACTCAGACTTACTCCTCATGATCTCTTCACTTCATGACCTTCACACTTTTGAGGCCAGTCCCAATCAATTTCATATTCATGCAGTCCTCTCTCCCTTCCCCTCTGTACTTTGGCTTCTGTGGTTTTCTCATCTAGAATCTGCTGTCCTATCTGATCCTGATTGCCTGTGTCAATTTAAAGCAGGGACCAGGCAAAAATCGTACCTTTCACAAAGCTTTCCCCCATCCCTGCCAGTGTCCCTCTAGCTTTCTCCAGGAGCCCTTCATTAACTTATTGCCATCCTCTCACAGCTAATTGTATTAGATTACTGTTTCACCTCTTTAAGCTCCACATGGGCTAAGACAATTCTTACACTGCAGCTGCCAGCACAGACTCCATGGTCAGAGAGTCCTCTCCTTGTTACTGTGCATGTTCAAGCAGAGGCCACTAGACAAGGGATCCTGGTAGTGGGCAGAACACGAGTACACAAAATTCCCAATGCCTTAGAAGAGTTAACGGCTACTAACTGGATCAAGGAGATATCTTAAGAGAGCATTTCACCCAGGAGCTGAAATCCTAGCTACTCAGGAGGCTGAGATCTGAGGATCGCAGTTGGAAGCCAGCCTGGGGAGGAAAGGCCGCGAGACTATCTCCAACTAACCACCAGAAAACCAGAAATGGCACTGTGGCTCAAAGTGGTAGAGTGCTAGCCTGGGGCACCAAAGCTCAAGGACAGTCCCTGAGTTCAAGCCCCACATCTGACAAAAAAAAAAAAAAGAGATCATTTCAAAGGAAATCTGTCTTAGTGTTGTGCCATTTGAGCATATTTACTCTAAAGGTTTCAAAGCCTGAGGTTCTACATGAGTCCAAGTGCAATGAAAGCTGGCCGCGCCATACATTTTAGACCTCCCACCCCCTGAGAGTTTCTACCTATGACCACTAGCTCAACGAAAGCTCTCAAACTGGAGGTTCCGGGGCGAGGTTCACAGGACACACCCACCAATGAACATATTAGCGCAGAAGCTGGGGAGACAGCTCCAGGCCCCTTAGCATGGACATGCCCTACTTCAGAAATGGGTCGGCTTCGTGACCTATGTGCTCTCCAGAGGAACAGACTCCTTTCTACATACTGGCTGCTCCACAGCCAGTAGTTCTGAGTTAGGGGGATAGAGAGTCCTCTACTGACTGGTGCTCAGGTCTACCTAGACCCCTCATGGTGCTGGATGATCCCAGGAAGCTTGAAGAAGAGAAAGGAACCTTCCAGAAGCTCCTGCCTGGCCGGCCCCATTATTTATACTCACATCAGCCAGAAGAAAGGCATCCACCTCATTGTGGTAAGTGTCGAACAGAAGACTCAGGGCCTGCCTGGGAAGTGGGGGGAGGGGAGAAATCACAGGGGAGGTCACAAAAGACCCAGTGCTCAGGGAGAGCCATCTTCTTCTGCCCCCTCTCCTTTGCTTAGGGATCAGGTTTTATTGCAAGGTGTTACCACTCTTCCCATGCCCCATGAAGGTGGAAGAAAGCGGCCTTTCTGCTTCAACACCCCTTGCTTAGAGAAGGTCAGCTACATACTAGAGGAAAGAGGTAAGGCACAGGACTGAGAATGTGGCTTAGCTGAGTGTTTGCCTACCATGCATGAAACCCTAGGTTTGATTCCTCAGTACCACATACACAGAGAGAGCTGGAAGTGGTGCTGTGGCTCAAGTAGTAGTGCACTAGCCTTGAGCACAGACTCAGGGACAGTGCCCAGGCCCTGAGTTCAAGCCCCAGGCCTGGCAAAAAAAAAGGGGGAGGGGCAGGGGTAAAACATATTCTACAGTGAGGATTCTCTCTCTAGATTCTGTGGTCCAACCTTGGACACCTGCAAACATCTCTCATTTGTGCAGTAAGTGCTGTCTCACACCTCCTGTTTGGACCACAGCCCCCGCTCTCACCTGCTGATGGTCTGCTTGACTGGCCTCTCTTGCAGATGGATGAGGTAGTTCAAGGTGGAGGGGCTCTGATCATCATTCACCTGTGTGAGCAGAAGCAGGACTCGGTTGAGGCACGATGGTGCCTTTCTCATAGTCTCGTACTCCCATTCCCACCCGACTATCACCCAAGAATGTCCCATGTTGCCCTCTGCCCATTCCAGCTCTCTGAAATCACCCCTCACACGAACCGTCCTGGCTAGGTCACTGCGCACAGCCTTCTGCTCCATCAGCTGTAGTCGGATGTCAACGTCAAACTTGCGGCAATATTGGATATACTCATGGCTGCCCAAGGCATGCTTGCTGGTAGGGTAGAGAGACAAGATCATTAGCATCAGTGAGAAGAGAGATGCATCTTGGCCTTGAAGAGAAAGAGAGATGTATCTTGGCCTTGAAGAGAAAGACCTAGGTGGGGTAGGATCTACGTTGTAGCCTCTATTCTTGGATTCCTAGAAAATGTCATGGTAGAACTTAGGGGAAAGCATAAAAGCCATCTATAACATTCAGCCCTTGTGTAGCACAAATATTGACTCTTCCAGGTATTTATTACCTGCGTGGTTATCACTGGTTCATTCACAGGGAAGAAACTGCCACAGTAGGAATTGTAAAGTGGAGAACAGAACAGAGGAGGTCCACAAGAAGTTGTTTAAGTCCTACTCTCTCTTAGTTTCAGTGTAGGAGACAACCCAGAGCAGACTTGCTGGGAGTCTTCCCAGCTCTGGTGTTGCCACCCACTTTCCACATGACCAACTAGAGTACTGAGATCCTGAGACTCCAGACCCGCTATCCCCATCCAAACTCTGTCTCTCCTTCCTGAATGTATATTGCTTATTTGGGAATCACCCACAAGTTTCTGCAGACCTCATAGGAGCTATGCACTATCCCTACAACCAGCACCTACAGGAGAGAACTTTGCAATTCTCAGAACAGGACCAAGGGAGTCCCTCAGGCCTCTCTTCCACTTGTATCACCATCCAGCCTCTCTTCCACTTTGTATCACACCTCAATCAGAAACCCAAGAGAAGGGACAAAGGGAGTTCCCCCTATATGCCAGCACAGTGGGCTTGGGGCAGGTCCAGCAGCTGGGTAACAGAAGCCGGAAACAGACTTCCTTCCTTAGCAGAGCTGGGAGTCCAGGCCAGAAATGGAGAGGAGGGGAGAGGAACAAGCAAGAGGGGGATGTGTGGAAGCCAGAGAAGGTACAAGTTCTAAGGCTAGCCCAGACCCTTTGGGGACTACACCTCCAATCTGACACCTGACTTGCTATGATTGAAGTGTTACCAAAACACTGGAGAAGCTGGGCGGAAGGAAGGAAGAATGTGGTGCTAGTGGGGGAGGTGGCAGGAAACCCAACCCTCCCCTAAGACTGTCTCAAGGTTCTTATCTGAGAGCAGCCTACATCCTAGACCAACACCTCCCCTCCATATCAGCCCCTCTCGTCAGGCAGGGGTAGGAATCCAAAGGGCTCCCTAGGGAACTAGCAGTCTTCTGGAATCTTCCTCCCATCCCAGTCCTCCTCCCACACACAGAAGGCCCTCTCCACAAGGAAACAGGACTAGACTTTTAGGTAGAATGGGCAGGGGTCCTGGACCAGGATCATGGCCACAGCCACCCCCCCCCAGGAGTTTGCTTGACTTTCTCTTTGGACGGCATGACCTGGGGACCATAGGCCCTGTCCCACCTCACTGGAATATTCCATATGGGCCTTGGCAGGAAGGTGGAACCAGACAGCTCCTCCCACCTCTGAACTCCAGGGCTCCTGGACTAGAGCTGCTGTCGAGATCAGCATCTGTATAATGCGGAGTCCTTTCTCAGGGCTGCTCCTCCCTTGCTGCTATTCACCACTGATCATTGGTCCTTTTCATGTTCATCTATCTACTTCTTTTTTCCTTTTGTGCCAGTGGTGTTTGAACCTCATACTCTCACTTGGCATTTTTTTTGCTCAAGAACGGCACTTTGCCACTTGAGCCATACCATTAGTGGCTTTGGGGCAGTTAATGGGAGATAAGAGTCTCACAGATTTTCCTGCCCAGGCTGGCTTCCAACTTCAATCTTCAGATCTTAGTTTCCCTTACAGCTAGGATTACAGCTATGAGCTATGATGCCTGCACCTGGCATCTCTGTTTTTCTACCAGAGCCTCACCCATGCTTGGCCTCACCTCCACCACTACATACCCAAACTAAACCCTTACTTCCTTCTAGCAGCCAGCAGCAAGCTGCCCAAGGCTCTTACTGACAGGAAACTCTGAATCTAGGACCCCATTCTACTTCCCTAAGGGGAGCAAAGACACAAGCAAGTACTGCATGGGGCATATTTGAAGGTCTCCTGGTGTTGTGCTATGTAGGTCCTGTCCTTCCCTTTCCAGATGAGAATGTGGAGACTGGGGAAAAAATAGTGTGTGTGTGTGTGTGTGTGTGTGTGTGTGTGGAGACTGGGGAAAAAATAGTGTGTGTGTGTGTGTGTGTGTGTGTGTGTGTGTGTGTCCCTAAGGTTGAAGAAACCAGCCAAGAAATGAGTCTTCAATCCTCACTGCCAATTCTGTGCTCTAGCCATGAGCAACCATCTTTGTAACTAGATTACAGGTGAGAGAGAAAGGGTGTGGTGGCATTTAGCAGGCATTGCTAAGAAAGTAGGCATAGGCCTCCCTTTCCTCTACTCCAGGAGGCCAGAAATGGAAGGCAGAAGCCAACTGGATGCCAGAGGTTGGAAAGCAAATCTCCACATCTGTCTGCTACCACCAGGCTGTGTACTCCCTGAGGGGTGGGAACCTCACCCAGCCTCCCCTTCGTCACCCCAGTCCTCCAGAGCTCTGGGGCAGTGGAAAGGGGGTTGTTTCAGCCTATTCACATCATACTTTCCAGGGAGGCCACCTTCTGCAAAGGGTCCTGGCTGGAGAGGAGCTGGAAGCCAGCCTGTGGGAGGAGGAAAACCAGCTGCGTAGGCCAGAGTAAGGGAAAAGGTGTGCTGGCACAGGAACTGGGTAGAGAGAACAATTGTATTTTCTCCTCTAGGTTCACAAGGACACCTCTGCCCAGTTCTATGTATCCAGCCACGTATCCTCTGAAGCAGGAGCGGCAACCACTCAGGCTTCCCTAGGCCCTGTCCCCTAAGCAAACAGAAGTCTGCATACATAGGACCTCGTCTTTGCCTGGTGCCAGCTCCAAGCTCTTTCCACAGTAGCTTTGGCTCAGGATCCAGCCAAACTTGCTGGAAGACGGAGCTCCTTGAAGAAGTGTGTCGTGGCCGAGAGTGTGCCCAGAAAAGCGGGAGTCCTCATTGCAAAGTGGGGCAGAGCTGCCAGTCCTGTGTTCCCAAGCCCCTCATGATTCTACCAGCCAGAAGGCAGGTACTGCCTCCACCCCCACCTTTCCCATCTGTCCTCCCCTCCTCCCCCACCACGTCCACTTACTTCTGCAGAAACTCCTCCAGCCCACAGGGCTTGAGCACAAAGTCCCCCACGTCCACTCCCCTCAGTTCATCATGGGTGTAGCACAGGGTCTGGTAGATGAGCAGGTCGACGGTGGAGGAACCTACAAGTGGGTGGGTCAAGGCGAGTAGGCAGGCGCAGCTCCATCTCCCCACTCAATCTGCCATCCCCAGCCAAGCGGTCCCCTGCACCTTCACTGACCAGATAAAGTTGGCAAGCAAATAGCCTTAGGATGGAGGAAAAATGATGGCGAACATACAAAGCTGGTCCTAGACCCTGATCCCAAAAGGAACTTTCCCTCTGCCCATCTGGGCTACAAGGTGAGCTTCAGTCCCCTACCTCTGGCCCAAGGGGTGCTCACGCTCCCTCCCCAACTAACTTACAATTGCAGGTAAAAGTGAGAGGCTCCCGAATGCTATCACACAGCACAGTGACCTTCAGGTTGACCTCATCGCCAAGGTGCTCTGGGCTCGGGGTGACAGCACTCCAGACATAGCCGGTGAGGGAGTAGTCTTGGATGTCACAGCCCAGTCGAAGGCTGTGCCGGAAGAAAGGAAGAAGGACCCAGAGGTCTTCAGGGACCCACCTTCCCGGACACCCAAGTGTCCCTCTGTCCCCACACAGCTCAGCCCTCCAGGTCTACAGGCTAGGCTGGGGGCAGCAGGGAGGTAGCTCTGGGAAAATGTGTTTTTCCATCCCTGCTGCAGTTATAAAATGCTTCCCACAGTGGAAGAGTAGAGAGAGTTCCAAAATGACAAAGCTTTCCAGGCTCTGCTTAACAGAAAATTTTTATGAATTCATTTCCTTTCTCTTTTAATTCAAGAAAGCTTGAACTTATCTCCATCTGGGGTATATTTGCTCTGAAGAACAACTGAGATCCAGAGTCTAAAGTGCTGAGGATAACTGTTCAATCAAGATTTCATGAATTTTAGTAACAATGTGTAATATTGGGGGTGGGTTGAGTCAAGGGTACTGGGGCTAGCCGGGCGCCGGTGGCTCACGCCTGTAATCCTAGCTACTCAGGAGGCTGAGATCTGAGGATCAAGGTTCAAAGCCAGCCCGGGCAGGAGAGACCGTGAGAC